TTAGATCATGGATTACAAGACAAGAAAACAAACATTTCGATCATGGATTACAAAAAATTCTATTATGGGTTACAAAAAACCAAAAAATTCGATCATGGATTACAAAAAAACAAAAACAATTCGATCATGGATTACAAAAAAATCGATCAAGTATTACAAAAAAATCTATCATGGATTACAAAATAAAAAAAATAAAAAATAAAAAAATAAAAAAAAATTTACCGTACGGACTCGCCGATTCACTGTTCGGACTCACCGATTCCGTACAGTGAATCGGCGATTCACTGTACAGAATCGTCCGGTTCTCTCTAGAACCGTACGATTTCCGATTTTTTAGGCGATCCGGTCCCCTTATCACGATTTCCGAGTCGAACCGGGCGAGTCCGGTTCGACTCGGCGTTTTTTAAAACACTGGTTAAATCACTATAACCACCCAGTGGATAGTCTCACCTCTATACTCCAAGGTCACTTCCTCACTCTATAAATTAGTTCTGTTTCTTACCATTTTTTGCATCTTTGGCTCGCCATTTTAGTACATTAAATCGAGTATATCCGCAACCAAACACCATAGACATGCACGACCACGTTTAAGTAACTTGAAATTGGTCGTCCTAAACCACCACCTAATCATTTTCCTGTGCATCCGCCTTTAAAACGCAGCTTTTTACCGTTTGATACTAAGGACAAAACTGTAGGGGTGGCAACTGGGACCTGTGAATCGTATACCTGACCCAGGTTTGGGTAATGGGTCTAGGGTTTGGACCCGTTAGGTTGGTCAAAAGGCCGGTTGGGTCCGGGTTCTATAGTATAATTTTGGCTCCTGGTTTGGGTCCAGCCCGACACATCGCCACCCCTAGACAAAAGTTGGCATCTCCTCATTTAAGATTCATCAAATCATAAGATTCAATTAAATTCATTTATTTATTGGGGCAGCATAGAAGTTCTATCTTCCCCCACCATTCAGGGGTCTAATTTTGATTAAGACAGCCATTCTTGTTTGATCTTAGATCTGGTATCTCAAAATATTTTATTTTTAGGTTTTTTTTATACAAATTATATGAATATGAAATTTGGAACGTGCCATCTTCTCATTGGGGCGTACCTATAAAAAATATTTAAAATAATTTTTTGATAAAATATAACTACCAAAGTACCTTTTGAATACTTCAAAGGTATTTTGGTCATTTTATTTTATTGAAAATAAATTTTTTTATATTTTCCGCCAGTACAAATTTAATAGAGGAATGGACATCCAAATTTTGGTGTTAAAATAGTTTATATAAAAAATTAAAAATAAAATAATGCATAGACATGACATTGCGATTGGGACAATTATTCATTCCAAATGGACAGAACTTCTATGTTTTAGAGGAAGCATATAAAGTTTTGTACCGATAAAAAAAAAGCCAATTGAAAGGGATTTTAGATTTTTTAGGACTAATGATGCATTATCCAATTTTTGGGTTTTCCCCAAAAAAAAAAAATGGCATTGGAAATAGAGACACTCATCAATAAGCAGGACGGAAGCCAGTAGCTCATATTAATAGGAAATTTGATACAAGTCTAGCTTGACCGAACCATCACTACAAACCAACCCAAGGTCAGGATTCAGAGCCTTGCTTGCTTGGCTAATTCAATTAAATAAGAGAGAGGATTTTATTGAGAATTAAGATTATAAGAGAAATCAGGGGCATTTAGGGCGTCCTTCCTGGGTCTTCCAGTTGTTGTAGCAAGGGCAGGATTGCTTGTTCCCGTAGGTGCCCGGCGGCACGCACAAGCAAACAGCACAGCACTTGTTGCAGAAGAACAAGCATGGCTTCTTGTGCGATGTTGCTGAGCATCGGTATTGACACTTATCCGAGCATTCTGCAAACAAATAAATCACAATTTAATATCTAATAGCTAGTAGTAATTACGACCTGTTTTGTAACAAAGATAAATAGCCTCATAACACAAAGAGAAAAAGATGATTTTACCAGAAGGACGAAGGCGTCTTGTAGATCCCTGTAAAAGAGAAGAAAACCATCATCAGCACTCACACCCAACAAAACCAATATGAGAAACACTTTTATATAAATCAAAGACATGAAATGGCAACTAGTTTTTGTACCTCAACAGATGATGAAATGGCCAACACCAAGAACAATGTAACAAGAAGGTAGCGAACCATGGCCATTGAAACTTAGCAGCAAGCAATCAAACTCGATTTCCGGTTTGTTTTTCCGGATTTTGGAAAGAAGGATTCGAGGAGAGGAGTTGAGAAAGGGGTTAGGATTTATAGAGGGAGGAGGAGGAGGGAGAAAAAGGCTAAAAATGCGGGATTGAAAGGGAAAAGCGGCGGGGCCAGAGGCGTGAAAGTCGGGTAAATGTCGTGCCTTCCATGTGGCATGTTGGATTTGGGCCCTTATGATACCTTTTGCCCCACTTCTCTTCTCTCTTTTTGTGATGGTAAAAATCTTTTCCTTATTCAATACCCCCAAAGAAAAAAATAAGCTAGATTTTTTCTAAAAAAGGGTAAAAATATGATTGAAAAATAAATGTAAGAATATATGAAGAACAATAGAGCATTGAAAAATTTGAATAAATTCAAGGTTTTTTTTATAGAAAAGGAAACCTAGATTAGGTTTCCTATTAGATAATTGAATTCATGATTTGTTGCTATGAATGTTAAGACTTTTTTTTATCAATTTTTGGGAAGAAACCGTTGAATTTAAATTAAAAACATAGAAAGAATGAGAAAATTCATGTAAAAAATTGGCAAGACAACTAGGGCCACAATTTTTGGGTATGAATGTTAAGATTCTTTCGGTACGATTTTGGCAAGAAAATATGGAACAACTCGACGACACATCCAATTAGCGGTAACTATGTTTTCTATTGGTACGTATGGGTGGCCATGTAGCTCTCATACATGTTATTTTTTATCTCTTTAATATTTATCATACAGATATAGAGTTAAATAGCAGACCAGGATTCATGTCAACAACCCAAATTAGTTGGAAAAAGGCTTTGAAAATGATGTTGGGGGTTGGAGCAAACTTGAATCAAGCCTTATTCTGGTGGTGGGTCTTTTGTTAGAAGGACTACGGTCTGTCACTAATAGTTGACATTGTTTTTAGGGAAATTTGCAAAAAAAAAAAATTTATTCTAATTTTGAAATTCAAAAGCATTCTCATATATTTCATATTTTAGATTAAAGTCTAATTTTAATTAAGAGTATAAATTATATTTTACTTTTAACACTTGTTCTTTAGGGTGAGGTTTGTGAAAGGTATCCACCTTGTACTATACAAGTAAAACACTTTAAATTTTGTCAGAAAGCGTAGTTCTCGTAGAAAACCTTACAATGATTTGAAAATATATGTTTAACCTCAAATATGAAATTTAAAATTTCAAAAATAGTAAAGATTGAGCATAGCTATAAACGCTTATCTTGAAAATAGATGGTCCAAATAACTTATTATAAGATATCATGTTTTTAGGACTTGAAATTCTTTTTTTTTCTTTATCTCCATAAATGTCAAGATCAAGATGATCAATTGGAATAATTTTTCTAGTTTCAAAATACTATTTTCTGTTAGAATTTTGAGGTGCACCTTACTTCTATAATATAGGGTTGCAATTAAACTTTTTCTATGTCTTTATACTTGGGATTAAGCACAAATACAATATGGAAAAAGTTTATCTAAGGTTGCAACCTTATAATGTAGAGCTACGGATGCACCTAAAAAATCCATCAGAAAAAGTAATTTTAATGTTGAAAAACAGTTTGATTGATCATCTCGAGATCGAGATGTATGACCATGAAAAATAAGAAGATTTTAAGCCTAAGAAATAGTGCATTTTACAATATATTATCTACACCGCATTTTACAACATATTATCTACACCGTCCATTTTCAAGATTTTTATATGTTTATAGATCTACTTAATTTTAACCATTTTTGAAATTTAAAATTTTATAATTAGATATAAAAATAGATTTTGAGATAATCCTAGGAAAATTTTACATCAAAATTATATATCATAATAAAATTTGAAGGCGCACCTTGCCTCTACAGCTATGAATGCTATCGTATGCCAACTGCACCCATACAATATATTCATGTTTCTCACCATCAACGCATATAAAAAAAAATTAAAAAATATATTATTCATGTTTCTCACCATCAACACCTATAAAAAAAATTTATTTTTTTAAAAATAAAATAAAATTACCAAAATATGAATGAATATTGTAGGAGTATTCTTAATATTTATTAATTTTAAATTAATTAAATGTTTTTATTATTTTATTATACCAAAAAGTATGGACATATTAAATTTGAAATTAATCTACTCTATAAAAAAAAAGGAAAACATGAAATATACCTCCTGCTCTTAAAAAGTAGGACCCATTCCATGCTCAACTAAACAAAAGTGTTTTTTTTCTTTGCACACTTTCACGGGTTACTTTTATCACGGGGTGGCATTCACTTGCAAGGTGGCAGTGACGTGCAAAAAAGAGTGGGAGTTAAAGATGAAATATGGACATTGTCGTATTTAGGTGGAAATAAAATTATGAAAAGAATAAAAAAATAAAATGAAAGTAAAAAATTTATGTGAGGTTGCCATTTTAAAATGTAAGATTACATATGCACCTCAAAAATCAATTAGAAAAATTTGTTTTAATGTTGAAAAGCCCTTTAATTGATCATCTCCACATCGATATGTTCAAAAATATTTTTGTAAAAAATAATTTGAGTCCCAAAAATAATACATCTTACAATTAGACCGTCCATTTTCAAGATTTTCATATGTTTATAGGTATATTTTATGTTAACTATTTTTTGAGTTTAAAATTTTATAATTAAATATAAAAATAGATTTTCAGATAATCCTAAAACAGTTTTATACCAAAATTACATGTTATGATAAAATTTGAAGATACATCTTAATCGAATTATTTAAGGCTGCAACCTTATGAAACTACACCCAAAAAATAAAAAAAAAGGTTGAGCATCAGTTAAAGTTGGGCTCTTTGTGAAAGCGGTATGTACGGAAATGTCAACAACCCGATAGTTTTATTTTTGCTTTTTGTATTATATTAAATCACCATCCTCCCGCCGCCCAATAGTGCGCTTTTGGCGATTGAAGCTCGAGCGTGGAGCACGTTCTAACCTTCACCACGAAAGCTGTGCCATTAAATATAATTAAATTTGGTTTAATTTCTCTTAATGTTTTTAAACTTTTCTTTGGTAGTCTTAATCATATGCAGGAAGTACGAATCCATACAACTATGCAGCACGTCACTTGTACGGATATTTGTTTTAGATATTAACAGTAAATTTTACTAATACTAGGAGGAAAGCTCATGTGCACCGGTGCAAGGAAAAGAAATAGTTGTAAGGACACGGTTTTTATGAGTCCATGCATAAATGAGTCACATGTTAAAAATCCATTTTTGAAATGGATTTTTGGAATTAATTTTTTAGGATATGTAATCTCTATAACATGGAAAGAGAAAATAAACAAATTTTAAAAATTTAAAATAATAATTATATTAAAAAAAACATTTGGACGGATAGTTTTAATTGTTTTTAGATGAGCTATCTATTTACATCCATTATTAAGATGGATGTTTTATACCTTGGGACCTCATATTGTAGAAATGCAGTGTAGCCCACATGAAACAATTTTCCTAGATATAAATCGCTACTTCCTAGAAAGACCGACGAATACTTCTAAAGAATAACCAAAATTTGAACCTTGAAGAACTTAGGGTAATGATTTCATGCAACCGTTGTCTAGTAATATGATGAAACAATCTTAAAAAACCATCTTATAGCCATTTGTTTGATCCAAATTTTGAAATATACACTCTTTTCATTCGAATGAACAATAAAAAAAAGAAAAAAATTGAAAATACAACCTAAAAAGTATTTTTTTAGCTCAATTAACATAGGCTGTTCATGTTGATAAGATGCTTAGATCTAGGCCTTAGAAGGATTTTTTCATTTCCAATTTTTTTGGATGGCTTTATTATCATTAGATAAATAATCTTAAAAAAGAAAAAAAAATTGATTTGGAGTTTATAAAGGCTAAGATCTTGAAAATCACAAAATGAATGGTCTAGATTCGTTTTTGGAGGGGACTCATTTTGACCGTATCTAGGATTCAAATTTAAATTTTTTTTTTTTGGAGGACTGATTATTGAGATGTAGAAAGTATGTGTGCAAAATTTGGAGTCATACAAATACAACAAACATGGTTTTCTAGAAGTGTCGTTGCATTATACTATGATACAACCGTTGCATTGGATCATTGCTCAAAAAAGTTATGCCACCAATGACATATGGATCCTCGCTGACCACTTAAAGCAACAAACAAAGGTCATTGACCTCTCCAACCCCTCAACCTGAACCCCGAATAATACTCACTACCACTCATAAGCGCCATCTTTTCTACACTAAGCACACAAAACGTGGTTGGGGCAATACACAAACCTGATGGTGCCCAGAACATTGCAGCATCTAAAAGGTGTTGGCGCAACCAGTGATCTTACAGCGTTTAAAAGGTGTCGGCGCAACTATCGATCGAGAAAGATTGTGCAAGAGAGTAGAGGGTGGGTGGAGAAACCGAAATGGGGAAAAGTGAGATAAAGGCGTCAAGGTGAGGAAGGAACAAGATGTGAGCACCTCCTCTAGGCAACTCTATAAGCGCAAACGAATGAGATCGTACTCCCAAAAGGAGAAAAAACCTTCACGATGGGGCTCAAGACATAGCCTGCCTTAGGTGTTAACCCCAAGTGGTCAAATATAGGAGAAATTCAGGCCAAGGGAAAAAATTTAGAGACTCATAAAAATCCATAATAGAGTCTCAAACTCCTAAATGTAGGGTAAACTTCATCTTATGTGTTAACCTTCCTAGAAGAGAAGAGAGTTGAAAAAAAAGGAAGTGGTCGGCAGAGGGATGGACAGAGGGGAAGAGAAGAATAGTAGGAGGACGGAAAATGAGGAGGGGAAGAGAAGAATAGTAGGGGGAAGGAAAATGAGGAGAAGGAGGAGGAGGAGGGTTGGGGTAGGCATTTGTTTAATGAAATAAGTCAAGAATTTTTTTTTTTGTAAATATTACGGTCTTATTCCTTAATTATGAATTCTAAAACTCCATAATTGTTTAAAATTTTGATTATGGAAATTTTATAATCAAATACATAAAAAGTATTTATATATTAAATGATAATTGGTTTCACACACCCATCCATGCATGTGGTGAAAAAAAA